CCCCCCCCCCCCCAAAATCGCCCCCCAGCGCCCCTTGACAGGGAGATTTATTCCTTGCAGAGTCGTATCAGTCTTTCCGCCACTAACTTCCCATTTGGAATATATATATATATCCGATTAAAGAATGGAACAACAAGGTTGAAACTGACCTTGACTAGTTCGATAACCATGTCGTAAGAACCGTCGGGTCTGAGGCGAGTGAAGATGGACGCAATGGCTTCACAGTGGTTCCTATGATGTAGGGTACAGTAGCGGAAGATGAGAGGGGGGGTGGGAGTGAGTGTTTATTATTATTTTTTGTGTGTTAAACTTTCTTTTAAACAAAATGGAAAATCTCTTTTTTTTGTGTTTTTTTTTAAACTTTACACGACACACATGCTGAATCTCCCAAGCGAAATTGTTGTTTTAAATTAAAATTCGATCCCCAGATCTTCATACGCATCTGTATGGACAATTGATAGTCCCCATCATTTCCCGTTGATATTAGCCTATGTTTCGTACTTTCCCGGTGATATTAGCCCCCTCTTCTTATGTGTCCAATAAGTTTTGATCGATTCAAATCTTTACTTTAATTTTTTTTTTAAAAATTTCCTTGTCACTTTTAACTTTGTTCAACGTCTCGTATCAAGTTTACACAATTTATTTGATTTTTTACAGGTGGGAAAAGGGGGGGGGGATTGTAATCCTTCCTAGACTCAAACCCACCAAGTCACCAAGCCACACAACCAGAAGTGGTGGTTAAAATTGGTAAGCTAGAATTTAACATTCACAACTTTAAACGAGAAACCGAGTTACAGAAGTTTGTGTTGACCCCTGATAGATTCTATTTTCATTTTTAAATTTCGAACATGGGCAGGTAAAATATATTTTGTTTGCTTCTCCACTCCTAGTCTTTCTTCTGGACAGCACCACCCGACTTGGATAGCCCCGCCACCCGACCTGGATAGTCCTGTCACCCGACTTGGATGGTCCTGCCACCCGACTTGGATAGCCCCGCCACCCGACCTGGATAGTCCCGCCACCCGACCTGGATAGTCCCGTCACCAGACCTGGATAGTCCCGCCACCCAACCTGGATAGTCCCGCTACCCGACCTGGATAGTCCCGCCACCAGACCTGGATAGTCCTGCCACGACGCACGTTTCATTTCAAGGTCTCATCTCATGGTCAACACAAACCTCTCTGCGCACCGGTTTCCCCCCCCCCCCCCGGCCTGTAGCCCAGACTGACCTGTGGCGCCACAGCATGGCCACTTCTGTTCCTATGAACAGCAACTCCGCATCGGACAAACTGGTCTCGGTCAAAGGGGGGCCGTACACATATTTCTCAGGTACAATGACACCTGAAGCAATAGAGGTCAATTGTTTAGTGATGATCTTAACCTCAAACCCCCCCCCCCCCCC